TTCTAGGAAATCAAATTGTAAATACAAGTCTGGGCGGCTGGCTCTCCCTCAGCTTTTATGTGGTGCTCATGTGTGTTTATTTTCGCCGTGTTTCCCTTCGCTTAATCTTTAATTTATGCCGTGAATAATTTGCATTTCCATAATTCAGCTGTTAAGTCGGGTTCGGTTCACGTTTCTGTCTAAGCTTTTCAAGCCAAAGCTTCTCTAATTAACGAGTTCTCGGCTTGCGGTCGATTTGTAGTTCGTTTTTTTCTGATTTTCTGATTCAAGCTGGTTGAAGATTGTATCTCGTTCTGCCCATTTCAATTTTGCGATGTTTACTTTTCTGATTACCACGGGACTTTTTACTGAGAGAGCGAGCTAAAGAGCTTTGTTTTGTTTTCATTTAGTATTTGAATAATTGGGTGTTAATCTATGCATAATTATTCAGCAAATTTGCTTAGCCTTTATAATATTTTAATTATTATTGAGGCCGTTAGGCCTGTCTAATGGAAATAAATGCGATTCAAATGTGTTTAAGCATCGTTAAGGAGACCGGTTTTGTTCCTTTTTCTCTGGATTTTATTCATAAAATTATATTACATTTTTTTTTGATTTTTTGTTATGATTTGATTTGATTTGTATTACAATATTGTTTTTAATAATTGTATCAGTTGTTGTATTTAAAACCCCCTTACATTTTATTAAAGATCTTTATCGTTGTATTATCATATCTTATCCCGCGTCATAATATTCTATTCGTTCGGTTTACCTCAACAATTTCCGCGAATGGCAAATCATATCACAGAATTGGCTTGCTAACCACCTAAAATAAAGCTTTTTTCCTTGGAAAACTTAAATTGTCATGCCTCGCGAAAAAGCCGATTCGCCGAAGAAATGGGTAATTTGTGTTTTATTCTATTGAATGTGAATGAATTTGGCACGGTCCAATCGGGTTTCATATGTTTATATATACCCCTTGATGGGTGAAAACACATAACAATCACATCGCACTGATGATGCTTGTTGAACTTGGACCACAAACAGACAATCTCAGTCACAACCAGGATGTACACAGATAACGAGACTATCACACAATCAAAGTGAATCGGCGAATTTAGCGCGATTCACGAGTGGCGAATTGAAATCCGGGGAAATGGGCATTACGGGGGGCGGACGAGTGGAACCGGACGGAATCGGAGGCACTCTGCTCTGCTGACGTAGAATTCGATGGCGACGAAGTGTGCCGGTTGCCGGCAAGTGACTCAGCCTCCATTTAAAGCGAGTCAATAAGAGACAGCAAGAAGAAGACCGTGGAGAATGTGTTTTATTTAGATACCCTGTATTGGAGGGTATATTGAATCTAGGGTTTTTAGAATAGAATAGTTAGTTATAACTAAAATAAATAATAAAAATCCATAGATAATATTTTACCAGGGTATAAAAAAAAGCTATAAACATTTCTTTTAACATATTATAAGACTAAAACAAGTTGAAGAAGATTTAACACACAATTATTTAAATATAAGGTATTTCTGAATCACACGTTTCGGCATCAACTATCTGATTGTGTAAGGAAGATGAGATGTTCAAACATTTGCGTCAGTCATATTGCAGCGCCTAACTAGCCGGCAAAATGTGTCATAAAATTCTTACAAAACAAATTACTTTTCTGTCTACCTTGTTTATAAACTGTCAAGTTCTAATTTAGTAAATTAAATAAAGTGGGAATAAAGCTCGATCAGGTCAGGGGCTATTTTTGACAAATGAATGGCTAACAGTAGCGGAACTATCGAAATTCTCTTCAAATAGGTCAAAACTTTTTTGTTCCTATCCTGATAACAAATAGATCTGATAATGTTTTCGCAAGTAGTAAAATGTTGATGGACAGTCCGTATCAAAATTAAATTCAAATGGGTCAGTCTCTATTTTTAGCGGATGAAAACTGTCAACGCTTGATAAACTATATGATTGGCAACTTCCTTATCGAAATGAAGGCAGGGAAAACTCAAAGATAAAAACGTGTGCTGGCTATGCAAATTCTAGTGAAAACCCAATTCGTATCTTATCTATTTGAATCATAAAAAAAGCATAAATAACTTGTTAACAGGTCATTAAAAACGGTTAAAAAATTTTGCGGCACGTTTCGCCCAGCCTTTGTCTCCTCTCGTTTTCTAAATTGTTCAACAATTATTCGAGTGTTTATTTATGTAGCTACAACTCAATCAAGCCGGGCAAATAATAAATACGTGATTAATAAAACCGATTTGCTTGTACAGCAGCCGCAACGTCGCCAGTGGGGCTGTAAAATACCAAAGGGTAATCTTATCAGGGAGAAGGAGGAGGAGGGGTTCCAATAGAAGGGCATCGAGCTCATCGATGAATTGTGCCTGTGTGTAGGATCGGTTATCAAGTGTTAACCTCTAGACTTATCGGGGGAGCAGTACCACCGAAAGGTTCCGACGATTAGGGGGTTCCTTAAGTAATGCGTTAAAAATAGCGGCATTATGCCAGCTCTGCTTGATTTCCATATTGTTCAGTTCAGATATCTCAACTGATGACCACTGCTGCGTCAGATTCTATTTTGTCTAACAGAGTACTAGTGTATGGAATTCTTGATATACTTAAGACTAAAGAATATAATCGTTTTATTGTATTTGAAATGCCCCGAGTAGTAACATAGATACTTCAGACTATAAAAGACTTCTTTAATGACCGTAAGATTATTGACTTATTTTATAGATTTTTACCTGTTGTGATGTGGATGTGGACTGGTGTGAGGTTTCCTTAAGACTACTGCTTGAACTGGAGCTGGTATTGATTTGCCTGCCATTCGCCGTGCTGGCCAACACACCACCCACCCCACCCCACTCCCACTCCCACTGCAGATCCATTCAAGGTCGTGGGGGTTACTGTGGTCACTGTGCTGCTACTGCCAATGGGCTGTGGGGAGCTGTTCTTTTTGTGGAAATTCTCGATCAGGGAGGAGGCTGGACTCAAAACCCCACTGGGCGAGTTATCCGAGAAGTCTGTCATCTGTAGGGTAAACAAAAAAAACGAAATTAAATATGGATGAGACATGTAAAGAGTGAGTTTGCAATGCAAGCTTATCAGTTAGAGCAATGGCGGAATGACTTCCTTATATGGCAATGAATAACTCAAAACTTTACAGATACACAAGCTCGCAAATCTCACAGCTTTCAGCGAAACGTCTTGGTGATTAACAGCAAATATACAGAAATTGTGGATTCCCCATGAAGTATTAAAATATTTAAACAATTGATGGGCCATTATAACACTCATTCATATGCCTAACGTGTGCCATTCAATGAGATTTATGTGATGTATTTATTCATTGGCTATATAAATGGGAATTCTTCAAATAGCTAGGCTTTATGTCTGATAACACTAGTTTACAGCCGAAATGCTCCCCAGCAATTGATGGCAAATTCTATTAGTTTTGGACCCCTAGATCACGAAAATAGCACTAATTTTTTGTTTACATGTCGCCGCCTATGATAAAACTTAAATTTGGACTCTGTCAACCGAAAAAAGTGGAAAAATCCGAACTTTAAAAATCCACCATAAATCCAGTTTTCCATGGATTTGGGCCATCCGGCTTGTTTTATTCGGTAGGATGTAAACTTTAAGTTTGTAACCATTATGATTTTTCAACGGATTTATTTTGAGTTTTTACGATATATACAGCCGACTTACAGTCGACCAAAAACACATTTTCATCTTTGTCAAGTTTCTGCGCTGCCATTACTTATCCAATCATATTGATCTGTATGGCAAAGTTAAGCTCTGATCTATTGACTTTAAAATAAAACTAAAACTGGCCCAATCGGGTGGATATCTGCCGAGATATAAGAAAAAATTTGAAAAAAGTCCGAAATTTAACATTTCGAACTTTAAAAAATCTTTAAAAAAAAACTGTGCCAACACTAACAGAATTTGCCATCAATTGCTGGGGAGCACACCAAGAATATTATTTTGTAAACTAGTGTAATCAAGTTTTTATCGATGTCACTGTAAAATAAATCAATTAAAGATGGTAATTTCAAATTAGGAATCTATTTATTCTCTGATCTCAAACATTATTTCCCTGACTTGTACCCGGAAAATCTCTGCTTACAATCAATAAATTTTCATAGTTCTCCTTTTTTTTTGGCTAGTTAATGCAGCAGCTTTAGATAATAGTAGCGGCTGGCCATAAAAAACCGCCAACAAGGCCATGAAAATTATACACCGAGATAAATGGACTTTCGACGGATTTTAGGGGGCCCAACAACAAACGGAACAAACCGACAGGGATCAGCATAAGTTCTGGTTTGATTCGATGAATTCAGGTTGATTTATATTCTTTGCCTTGCATTTGCGTGTTTAGCAATTAAAAATTTGCATAAATACAATGCAGTGATTTATCTGAGTTTGCCTGAAACGTAATTAATTTCTCTGCAATGCGATTTGTGAAATTCGATTGGCGCGTGGGCCGCCTATATTACTATTTAAATCATACAATACGACTGATGGGTGTGTATGTCAGGGTGATTGTGTGTGGGCAGCACGAGACCATGTTTAGTAAATACAGCAGCGGAAAGAATAATAGCTACATCTACATAAGTGTCATCCTAAAATGATATTGGTTGTATAGGGTGAGTCATATAGCTATAAATTATAAAGATATGAAGATAAATTTGGTATAAGACAACTTTACATTGGATTTAAATCAAGAAATGGTATTGTTGTAAAGTAAGTTCTAAGTCCAAAGATATATTTTATTAGCCTAAATCGTAATTCTGATCAATAATTGTGTAATTCATTTAAAATAAGTAAAGTCAAAGCGAAAAACCGTTACCAAGCAACCCAGAGAGAAAGCTTTTCCCCGAAAGCTTTTGTTCGTTATTTCTCAGCGGTAACTTCCGTATCTAACGCTCTATTCCACTCTCTGGGGAACTGGAGAACTGTAGAGCTCGATTCCGTACCACTTACAACACTGCTTACTGCGCAGGGCTGGCGTAATTATAAATCAGCTGTCAGCTGGAGTGATTGGTTTTTCTTTTTGTTGTGCGCTGGCCGAAAGAAAAAATAGTATAGCCAGTGTTTTGCTGGTTATTTTAGACCCGAAACTCTAGCAAACGGCCGAGTACTTTGCGGAGGAGCCCACATTAAAGATGGTTCAAGTGGGCAACTGGATTTTCAACCTGCTTTTGCTGGCCATTTCGATGGCGTCAGCATATGCCGACGTCACAACGCAAAACGCTCTGCTGGGTGGCAGTAAGAAACACAAGGAAATCCAAATCCCAGAAGCTCCATCCCAGAATTTGGTGTGCCACAAGATGCTGCGGCACGTTTTCGAGAATGCCACGCCGCGGGATGAACAACAGGCGGGCGTCTTCGAGGAGTACAAGCCCCCGCCGGATTCGGTGGAGCCCCTGGAGGAGGAGGCCTACCTCTGGAACTGCCTGCAGGCGTGCTGCGAGAAGCCCCGAAATGCCACCAGTTCCTGCAACGTGGTGCTCGTCTTCAAGGGCAAGTGCTACCACATCCGTTGCCAGAGCAACCAGGCCTGTTTGCCCAAGCTACGGGTTCGGATGCCCAACGAGAAGGTGCAAATGGTGCTGGTGAATCCCCTGGGCGAGGCCACCTGGCCACAGCTCCTCAAGGCGGAGGCCGCCAAGCAGAATGCCGAGATCCTGCCCTACGACGAGGCGGCTTTGAATTTCTGGAAGCAGCCCAGGCGATTGGGCTACCTGGCTCGCAATCAGGTGAGAGCTAATTTAAGTACTAAATACTAAGTATATAATAACCGAAAAACCTCCTTTCCCAGGAAACCCCCGTTTATGAGGATGACGATTTCCCTTTGGCCGACAAGCGGATGAATCAAATGATCTTCCAGCCCGACGAGAACGATGTGTTGGCCAACGAAGAGCTGGGCTACTATGATACCAATGCCAAGTTTACAGCCTGTGATGTGGAGAACCCTTGTCCACCTCCACAGCAATGTGTTCCTCTCCAACCGAATGCCGTGCGAGGAGTTTGCACCTGTCCCGAGGGATTCGTGTGGAACAAACAGAGGAAATGTGTAATGGCAGCGGTGCCCTATAGCTCCTATCTCACCAGCAATGAGGCAGGACAGCAGGAGGCGGCTGCTAGTGAGAATTCACCAGAGGTATCTGCTCCTCCTTTGAAAACCGAGCAGAGTAAGGATATTGTGGTGTCCGTAATGTCCAAGGAAGTTCGCCTGCCGGAACAGGAGGTTACCCTCGCCGCCTTTACGGTTCCCGATGAGCAGACCAGCGATACCAAGTACAAATACCTGTGGACACTCATTTCCCAACCGAAAGGTCCCATGAACGGCACCATTTCGGATCAGAGCAAGTCCAAGGTGAAGCTATCGAATCTTTCCGAGGGCCTGTACACCTTCAAGGTTACAGTAACCGGGGACAACGGAACCTTTGGCGAGGCAACGGCAAATGTAACCGTTCTCCCAGAGAACCGCATCAATCAGCCGCCTCAGGTGATCATTTCGCCCAGGGAGCAGATCATCCGGCAGCCCACAACTAATGCCATACTGGATGGCAGCACCAGCACGGATGACGATAAGATCACCAATTGGCACTGGGAGGTGATCTCGGGACCCATTGGTTATCAGCCAGTTTTGCCCGAGGTTAATACCCTCCAACTGGATCTCACTTCCCCGGGAAACTATACCTTCAAGTTGACCGTAACCGATTCGAATAACGTGACCAACTCCACCACGGCCACCATTGCGGTTCTCAAGGAAACCGACTATGCTCCGGTGGCGAATGCCGGTGATGCGGTGATTTTATATCTCCCAAACAATAATGTCACTCTGAACGGAACTGCCAGCTCGGATGATCACGAGATCGTCGCCTGGGAGTGGACCAAGGATGCCAGCGATGAGGCCAAGGCTGTGGATATGCAGAACACAAGAACTCCCTACGTTCAGTTGTCCAATCTGGAGGAGGGCATGTACACCTTTGTGCTCAAAGTCACCGATGGCAGCGGGCAATCCAGCACAGCCAAGGTCCATGTCTTTGTGAAGCCCCCAACGAACTCACCGCCAGTCGCCGAGGCAGGAACTAATACGGTATGTTTTGGTAAGGTTAATATCTATTATCCGGTTTACAAGCTTTTCACTTTACAGACCACTAGCTTACCCATTAACTGGGTGCTTTTGAATGGTTCCGAATCCAAAGATGATATTGGCATCAAGACTTATTCATGGAAGCAATTGAGCGGACCCAATAATGCTGTCATCTTGAAGTCTAACTCATCGGTGAGTAACTAACCATCTTTATGCATTGATCCTTGTTAATCTCCCTTAAACTCCACAGATTGCCAATGCTACATCCTTAACTTTAGGTCTCTATGAGTTTGAGTTGAGTGTAGCAGATGAAAACAATAACACGGCTACGGACACCATCTGGGTGAAGATTGTTCAAGGTAATTAACCTGCAGCTTACTTAAGCTCCTTACTTCATCTATTACTTTCTTTAAACCAGAACGCAATGCCGCCCCAATAGCCAACGCTGGCGGAGATCACACCATCACTTTGCCAGCAACAGCCATTTATTTCAATGGCTCCAAATCCAGGGACGATCTGGCTGTAGTCAAATACCTTTGGACACGTGATGAGCACAGCCTGGCCGCTGGAGTCATTGTGGCCGAGACCGACAAGGAACCAGTGATGATTGTGAGTGAGGGATGAGCCTCTAATCCAACTGAGACTTATATTATTTTACCCTTTTTCCCAGTTAACAAATCTTGTGCAAGGTCGCTATGTTTTCACGCTGACTGTGAGCGATGATCAGGGGTTGACCAGTTCAGATACGGTCAGCGTGAATGTCCGACGCGATCCCAAACTGCTAAACTTGGTTCAAATGACCCTGCCCATGGGCATCTCGGTGCTCGCACAATCCGAACTGGATTCCGTGGTGCAGAAACTACAGCTTCTGCTGGGGGACGAGAACAAGATTCAGGTCAGGGAGCTCAAATACGATCTGCATACCGATGCCACTGTTCTGGTCTTTTATGTGAACGATGGTTTGGGAAAGGCACTAGATGGCCTGCAAGTGGAGCGCCAGTTGAGGACTCAACTCCAGAAAGATGCTTCTATATTGGGCGCATTTGCTGTCGACATTCGCACCACCGTTTGTCAAAATGATTGTTCCGGTCATGGAACCTGTAATCCCATTACACGGGCTTGCATATGCGAGGCATTCTGGATGCCTTCAGCAGGTTACTTCTTCAATAATCAGGAGGCCAATTGTGGTGAGTTTTAAAGTATATTATATCATTGTATCATTGGTAATACGTTTAAATTTTATTATTTATTTAGACTGGTCTATATTGTATGTGTTTGTTGGAGTGATTGTTGGCTGCCTGTTGCTATCTGGAGTATTTTGGGGCATCGCCTGTGCGTGCAGACAATCGAAGAAGCCGCGACTTCGCCAGAAAGTGCAAAAATATTCATTGATAGGTAACAAGGATGAAGAAGCCGCCAATTGTAAGTGTAAATTAAGTGTTTCTTACAGAATGATAAATAATATCATAAAATTCCCTTTCAGATTCCCGCAACACATCGCTGACCGAATCGGAGACGGATTCCGATGTCCTTTTTGAGACCCGGACCAAGTCAAATGGCCTGGGCAAGCACAAGTCGCACAGTCATGGCCATGGAAGTAGTGGCGGCAGCGGATCTTCCGGTCGGGATGGCCACAAGTATGGAGCACAAAAGTTGGGCCGCAAGATTAAGGCATAAAAATATAGGCATATGTGTGTGTTAGTCGATCTACTATACTGTGTGTGTGATATCTATTTGTATTTCTATAATGTACTCGGATCTTTTGTACTTTCCGCAAAGCCGTCTGAAGTCAAGTTGTCTATAAGTTCCTTTACGTGCAATTATGTTTAAGTTAAGAGTTTTTCTTTTAGATTATTTTAAGCTGCTGCTGTGCAACAAACCTTGTTTATAACGTTTAGTTTTACTGCATTTATACTGCGATACTTTTTATGTGTGTATATAGACATAGCTGTTCACAATCAATGTAACAACCAACATGTAACTGCTTAAAAGTGCATTATTACCCACATTAAACGAAACCAATAGATGAAATACGGCCTTTCAATATTTCGGGATTAAAATGGAAGGGAAACAAATGTCAATAGTTTCATTTGCCACCGATTTATCATGGCAAATGCCATTTAACTTATTTTATCAATCATTCATCGCAGTGTTTGGGTAATTTGTATGCAGAAGCTTTATCAACCAAACGAATGCTGAATGCATTCGAAAACATTTATTCTTTGGCGGCTACAGTTTGACATTCCCCCCGAAGATATTTACACGACTTGTTGACTTATCAGTGAGGTTTTTCTGGCAGCTTCTTTACTTTGATCAGATTTTAATTCAAACATTGACGCATTTCAAGCCCACACACAAGAAAAGACAGCACCAAACTAGGTTCGCAAGCGGATTTCTTGCCAATTTGTACAAAGCGAACAAAATTTACTAACATCTCTTGTACAACATTTTAAAATATTTTTCATACTTTATCTTATCATCTTTTAGTCAATGGGTTTAAAAGGTTTTAAGTGCTGATATGATAAATATGTTAAAAATATTGTTTTGATGAGTTTAAAAAATCATTTTGATAGAATAACCGGTTGACTTTTTCTGGATTAAAAACTGTCAAGGGAATGACTAAATTCGGTAATGTTTTAGAGGAGAAAAGAATTTAATTAATTATTTAAAAAAATGTTTCCTAAGTTTTCTTTAAGTGAGTTTATCTTTTACGATTTTTGGCGAAATAACTTTAAGAACCCAGATTCGCTGATTCAGTCTGAGCAGGAGCTTAAGTATTTGCGTGTTTGTTATTGATTTTAGCCGGATTTGGCCGGCTCCGTTGGGACCTGACCCCCGCCTCCGCCCCCGCTTACCCCTCTAACGCCCACATTCTGCTGACTGTCACGCGCGACCCATTTTTCACAGCTGGGAGCGGCCAAAAACACGCGATTTACCCATATCCATGTGGCGCCCGTCGCCTGTCGACCGTCGACTGCCACATGTCATGACCATTGTGCTATGTCCTTTGGCTCTAATTAGCCCAGGCTCAGCCGAATCCGAATCCGAACCGACCTTCGAGGGTTTTTGCATGCCCAACTGAAGGTGAGGTTCTTGAACTCTTCTCCGCCCAACCCCCCACTGCGATTTTCTCGGTATTTAAAGTTGACTTAATTGTTTGTTTTCCCCTCATAAGTCTCAATTAAACGCCTCTCGTATTCGAAGAATGCCATCGAATTCTCTTCCACGAACTCTTCCCAAATTATGAATTTTTAATTTCTTAATATGTGATGGCAAACTAATTTGCATGATCTGCGATCTCAGATATCGCAGATGCCGCTCGTTGACAGCTTACAGCTGTTGGAGTTGTTCACATGGGGACTGGACAATAATAACGACGTCTGTAGTATAATTCCCCCCGACCCTACAGCAGGTGGCTACTGGTATTATCATTATTTTTGTCATTTGTCAAATCAGCCAAAGCTAAAAAAAGAAAACGATTTTTTTTTCTGTTTGTTTTGTTTTAAAGGCGAATTCCTCTGTCGTTTTGTGTTATGGCCATTTTGCATAAATTAAGCGATGGCTTTATTTTGTTTTTAAAATTATAAAACGAAGAAAAAAACGATTATACTCAAATCACACATTATTTCATAATGGATTTTTGACAGTGGATGATTTATGTGGAACAAAGCAAGATAAATAGCAATTTGGACTTGAGATGAATTTTCAATTAAATAATTAAATCGTTATCTTAATTAACAATTTTGAGCTGATACAGGCACAAATGAAATGAAAAGATTTTATCATTCATGCAATATAATTTAAAAGTGTAAAATATTAAAAAAGACTTAAGTGATAATTCAGTAGTTTATTTGCCTACAAATTATAGTTGGCACACGTATTACAAATCTTAACTAAAAGGAACTTGTCATTTATGAAAGGAAAATATTAATTAATTAAATAATTTTAATAGTTATACCAGCTCTTAAAAAATATCACACTTGTTATTCAAGTTATTCGGTAGTCGTTTAAAGCCATTGACACTTTGGTGCCCCAAAATAAATATAACCTTACATTTTAAACTTGATGATTGGCAGAGTTATATATCAAAGAATTTTGAAGACATCTTACAAATTCCGAAACTAAAACCCCGTTTTAATATACTTGTTTCGTTTGCCTGATTTCATTAAAAAGTTATAAAACTTTATCAATTAACATACAGACAAAAACAGAACCCATAATAGAACATCGAGAAATAAAACTGGCTTTTATGTGGGTTTTTTGTTTGATTTTTATGTGATTTAAATGAACACCAAATCTAAAATGGGCAGAGGAGGGGTTGAGTGGGTCGGAATTTTAGCAAAAAGATAAAAAGGGGTGGCGGGGAAATAGCAACAAAAAAATTGGCACACGAGACAACGGTTGAGTGATTTTTAATGTATTCGTGACAATAATTTTTGGGTGCTGCTGATATGGGGAATAGGTTGTGGGGCAAGAGGGGGTGTGGGTGGTGGCAAAGGGGTGGCAGAAACACCATAAAATGTTTTGTATTGTAGTTTTATTTGCGTTTTATTATTGTTTAATTAGTCCCTGGCATTCAACTATGAATGCCAAACTTTGTTTGTTTGCTCCCAACAGTAGCAGCTAGCCCCATCCCATTTTTTTTTACTACCCATACCCCCCTACAAATCCCCACACTCACACAGACAGAACTTCTTTCATAAAGCGTGTTTATTGTTCTAGGGCGGTAAAATTCAAATGCAAAACGGGGAAAAAAAACACGAAACAAGGGGAAAAAATTGCGAAAAAGAGAAAATACAAAGTGAAGATCTAGTGTGGGCTGTGACATTTCGAGAAAAAAAGACTACAACAACGGAGACTGTTTCCAATGGGTCGTAGGTTGAGGCCGTCGTGTGGGCGAAGGCGATAAAAAAAAACTGGATGTGCAAACACTGACTGCGAAAAGTTGATGAATGGCCTATCCCAAGTGTAGGCAAATGGAAAAGTAAACAAGCCATATAGAAGTGTTCATAACTTTGTTCAAAAATAAAACAGTTCAACTTCAAAAGATAAAAGGGTCGTAAAAATCTACACTTTACGGAATATTTACTTTTACTAATTAGAAGTAGAGTCAGGTGATAAAAACAGCGATTTAAGGTCATTAGCTCTTAGAAGACGACTGAGAACCTGCAACATAATATGACCTTTTTACGAATCAGAACATCGATAAATCAACTTCGAAATGCGTGAAATACACAACGTTCCCACTCACTGTCTTCGGCGACTGTCACCTTCAAGTGCACTTATTTTAGCCAACTTTCAATAATTCAATTTTTGCACTTTCGTCTCCGTCTCGGCTTTCAGTTCTCCCACTTCTCAAGCGCTCTTCCCCCGAGACAAATAATTTGTACCTGATGCACCTGCCACTGCACCTGCCAAGTGAATGACGCGCTTTGCAATTTGAGCACTCAAAGGTAGCAAATTGAATGAAAAAAAAAAATAAAGCGGGAAAATATTTACGATGACATGGCAGGCAAAGGTATTTCCGATTTGCTCCACCTCCACAGCCACATCAAACACAATTTTCTATTCAAATTGCCCCGTTGCAATAGATAATACAATCCGTTGAGCAAAGGAAAATCGGCAAAAAGGCAAGGCAAACGGGAAAACCGCACAAGTTCAAGGTCAATGCCATTGGCATTGTCGTGCTCTGTGATTATATTTTTGTATCTGCATCTGCATCAACGTTTTGTATCTGCATTTTGTGTATGGCAACGACTGCAACTGAAACAGCTGCGATTGCGACTGCCATTGCCAATTAGATCTGTCTGAAATGTGTCTCATTAGCTAGAGATTAATTTAATGCATTCGAATTTGACGTTACATTTAGCCCACTGCGTGGGTGGATGGCTCACCTGAGAATGATGCCAAAAGTTAACCAAAAGGAACGATGAAAATTCCCCTTGTTTGACCCCCTTATTAAATGGTACAAAACCGATATTCGTGTAAGTCTGGGATTTAGAATCATGAAACAAAGGGAAGTGCTCACTTACTCAACGTTATGAAATAGTTACAATAATAATATTGCGGTTATTTATCTCAGTTCTAACATGAATTACACTACTGTGATCATTCACAAAACATTCTATGTGTTTTTGCGTTAATCTCCTACAATTTAAAAGTCCCCTTAAAAATGAGTCAAGATAGCTGTTAATCACAATGCTTAAAGTGTAATTTCACCAGTGTATGAAAGTAAATGAATGAAATAATTTAATTCAATAAAAGGTTTAAATTATAATATTTCCAAAACTGTTTAGAAATAAAACATTGTCTCCTTAAGATTTAAGTTTTAAAACTGAAATTTTAATGAAATTTTGTACAATTTGTAAGAAAGTAAAATTTTTTGTCTACAGTATAAATCTTTGGCTCGCCATAAATAAAAACTTGTTAGGGTTGTTTTCATTGTAACACCATTGCCTACCCCACTTCTGTTCTATTTCCCCCTTTTTTTCCGACAAAATGACGCATTTAGGAATTGAATTCGTCGTTATCCCTATACTTTGTTTGTCGGGATTGGGGCTCTCATATTTTTGGGGGTCGGGTCAGATTGCAATCCCTGCAATACAAACGAGGGTGTGTTTGCTTTCGGCTACCCCTTTGATTGCCCAATTGCGTGGGCCGGGACAATGTCTTTTGGACAAGTTTGTCGCGCTCGCGATTCGATAACAATTGTGCTGGCGGCGGAGATAAGCCGTAAAAAAGCGGAGGAAAAGAAAACATTTCCCCAAAAAATTCGACTCATATCTATGTAAGACCCGTGTGGTTACCTGTACACCGAAAACCGGTTCGCAGATTCTTTTCACCTGGGCAAACTGCCAATCTGGGAGACGAGGTAAAAGTGCCAAATTGTATATCGTTTTAATGGGTTCTCTATGTGAGACCGAGAGTGTGTGTAGTGCAATCAGAAAGCATAATCGAGGCAATCGACCATGAAACTGAGCAACAACTACGCAAACTATCTATAAGATACATTTCCCATCGAACAGCCAATT